AACCTTGACCCTATAAAACAATAAAATAATTATTATTATTTTCTGGATTTTACAGACCAGCAAACATATATAAATACTCCTCGAAAAAAAAAATAACCATTTTATAAAATGGGTTGATTCAAGCATAAATTGTGAGCAAAAGCGAGTCGAAATTGAAAAACTGTACCGAACCGAGTTATTCGGTGCTGTTTTTGGTAAGTTCGGTTATCGGTGCGGTTTGGGTGTTGAAAAACCGCAAGTATTTTAGTGCGATTCGGTTTTCTGTTCGAAGGGTGTGGTTTTAACTGAACCCCACAGAATGTCATAAAATGTCACTTTTTTTATTTTTTTTAATAAAATATCACCTTAATTTTTATAATTTTACTTACATAACATTAATTGGTGGTTATATTTTTTAATTTCGGTTAACCGAAAAACCAAACCGTATCGAACTGAAATTTTCGGTTCGGTGTGGTTCGATTTTTCCTTCTATCGCGGTGCGGTTCGGTGAAAAAAAATTAAAACTTCGATTTTTGGTTTTTTTCGATGCGGTGCGATTTTTGACCGAACACCCCTAGTGTTTGGTAAGACTTATATCTTATTTACTTAATTTATTTTCTTTTTTTAAAACCTTGAGTTTATTTCATAAGTTCATTTATATAGTTTTTAAAAAAATTGTTGAAAATTTTGTTTCAATCAATTAATTTATCATTTTTTTTTCATATCAACTGGCTTTTTAAAATAATATTTTTATTATATCAATCACGTTTTCAAATATCGATCATTAATTTATCAATAATAAGCCCGAAATTAAGTTAAAAACTATCTAACGTTTCAACTAAACTTACCAAACACACCAACAATCACACGAGCTTTTTAATCGTTGATTTTAATAATACAAGTTTCTTCGATCCCATTTATAGTCATCGAGCTTTTCATCGTCAGATCAACACACATGTATATAAGTGCATTCATGCAATAATAATCTACCCTTAATATGAAAAATATTTTGAACTTGTGTAAAATAAATAAATAAAATTATTTAAGTGGAGATTAATTTATAATTTACATTATGAAAAGTGGTGAGGGGGAACAGTTTGACCGCCGTGACAGTGTTTGCTTTGACTGTACTCCTCGGCATTTTCCCCGTGTGGGGTTTTGACTGCTTTTTTCTATTTTTTGCGCTTTAGTTGTGCTCGTAGCCAATCACATGCTGACACGTCTCTCCTTTTTTTATTTTTTGCACCCTCAACTTTTAACCTTTATTCCATTTCTGGCCCAATACTTATCTATTTTTGCCTTTGAGGCTTTGCGTCGTTTTTTGGCCAAGGACTAAAATTGTAATTATTTCCCGCATAATCCGAAAAGCAAAATTTTTTATGCTTCTTTAGACCTAACTTATTCATTACATTTTTTTTATTATTTTTTTTTTTTTATAAACCCTTCTACACGTTACGCGAGCCAATTTACCATATTTTTCAAGTAAATAAATATATATATATTTATGCCATAAAATATTATAATTTTGTTTATATTTCTTTAAAATATAATATTTTGTACTACTTCCTATATTTTTTAAATGTCATTTTGTCATAAATGAGAGTTATTATTGAAAAAAAAATATTCTTAATAATTGTGCTAGTTCTCAAAACGACACTTATTAAAATATAAGGAAGTATATATTAAATAGATAATTGAAATTATGTATAATAAAAAAAGTATTATTATCTAACCATTTGACTGCGTAACAATAAAAAAGAAAATTGAAAACAAAAAATATACCTGAAAACCTTGTAATATTTGAAGGTGTGATGCTTTTTCCTATGAATTCATTATAATAGTATCATTAAAATGTTACATTAAAAGGCATGATTTTTTTTTTATATGCATATATCTATATGTATGCAATATAATGAAAAATCGTGCACTTAATACAATTTTATCTTCTTTTTTTTTTCATATTATGAATAGTCAAAATAATGAGTTAGATTTGCTCTAATTAAATTATGGATCAATTTATTTTTCCTTTTACAAGGAACAAAAATAAATAAATAAATCTAACATATGTAATTAACTCAAACAAAAAATAAAAGTGTGGTGGGTTTGGCAAATGGGGAGTCATCGGAGCTTGGAGTACATGGTACCTTAGTTCGGGCTATTCGGGAATTACTCTCTCGATACTGAGAAGTTATAGTGACTCATTGTTTTCGCGAAGCCAACTTTGCGGCGACAGCTTGGCGGCTTTCGGCCATCGTGGTCTTAGTGTTTGTCAACGATTATCTGATCCACCATTAGAAGTCAAACCATGGCTACAACATGACCTCATTGGCATTACGTACCCACGACAAATAACTGTCTAATGGTTTTAGGTGTTAGCCTCCATTCTTGGTACCAAAAAAAAATTACATTTTTTGCCACCTCAAATCTGACCGCAACAGTAACCAGACAGGAGGTAGGTTTGACTGGATCACTAAGCTGAATTAGTGCCAGCCTGGCATTTTTGAATTGATTATGATAATAATTAAGTAATTATTATTCTTTTTTCATTAGAGGATTAAGTGCTGGTGCAATAAATTGGGGGGTTAGCATAATACAACTATTATTATAATATTATTATGAAGCAATAAAAGGGAGAGCACGTGAGTTCCAGCTCAATTTTGTGTGTGGTCAGAGAACCCGCGCACGTGAGGGAGCAACGGCGTGTTTGTTTTTGGAATTTAATGAAATCAAGTTGAACATATTGTTCAAACGTTGTGTACACTCAATTCAAATTTGTGATTTTTTTGTGGATTTCAATCAAACATGACATGGAGAACTCAAGAAATTATATCTAGAGAGATGATACGGTCCCGTTACAAAATCATTCCGTCGGGATTTGTAATCGTTAGATCAATTATCTCCGACGGTTACATGATGATCTAACGTACCATGTTTTTTTATTTGCATTGGGTAATAAAATATCACATTTGAACATACCAATGTTGTTTAATTGAATTTTGTCATACTTATCCTACCTAGCTAAACATTTTCACGTTATAATTATTGAAAATGGCAAAAATGTTTACATATTTGTCCTAGAATCTTTTTGTGGACATCCAAGTAATTTTCTTTAAGTTATTTATTTCACCACAAAGGCTTTATTTCATACATTACACATTTATTTTATGAATTCAAAATTGATCAATATTATTCTCTATCAAATCGAGAGAGGGAAGAGAGAATAGAGCTGCAAATTTAGACAAAAAACCAAGAATTAAGATTCTCCAAATCTATATAAAAAAAAAAAGGTATTATGAAGATATGATTCCTCAACTTTTACCTTTGACCAAGAAAATCATTATAGTGAGATAAACTTTAATTTGATTGACTATGCAATAATACTTAACATGATATTGGATACAATATATCCCTCATCCATCCATCATATAAAATCATAATACAATAATTTACCATCACACATTATGACAAGTTGGGGGTACAATCAACTTAGAGGTAGCTAGAGACATTTGAAAGGCTTATAAAATAATTAGTAAATAGCGACAATTTTTTAGTCGTCCGTAGAGGCCAATGAGTCGACAGAGGAGCATAAGCGAGTATATCATCGCTCGCAAATACACCTCGAGTCAATCCATCGATCTCGTTCAGCGCATAAGCTCAATTAGTCAATTCAATTTATTCTGTATGCATAGAGCGAGTCAAACTTAAGTTTACATGAATAAAAAAAAAACTATTTTAATTTCACATCTAATAGTCATTCACATTGAATCAACTAAAATTATGTAAAGTACAATCAAGAAAAATGTGAAGTATTTTCAACCATGATAATTGATAGAAAGATGTAAAATGAAAGCAAATAGAAGACAAGAAGTGTATGTTTTCAAACAGTCAAAACAACAATAATTGATACTTTGAAATAATGATAAATCTTTAAAAAGAGAAAAATTGCATGCACCCAATCACAAATATGAGGCTTTGCTTTGACCAGGACCCACCTTATTTATTAGTATTACAACTTTTCAATTTTCAAACCTCTCCTTATTGCCTCCACACACGCATTGCCTTAAAAAGGAATTCATTGGGATTGTCAACAATGATGGAAGTACACTCAACTAGCCCCACATCGTAATTTTCAATTTTCCTAGTGTTATGTTCAAGTGTTGTTATCAAATTGAAGGAGAAGAACTTGTACATACGTTCGTGTTCGTTTATTTATTGTTCGTGTTCGTTTATTTATTTTTTAAATAAAAAATTGTGTTTGAACTCATGCGTTTAATTATTAATCAATGTTCGAGTTTGTTGGTATTTGAACAATTTAGGACAGACACTTTTTATATATGTTTGATTAACTCGAAACATGTTCGTTCAAAGTCGAAAATGAAAAAAAATATATGAAAAATATTTTTATATTTCAATTTATTCTATTACAAATGTAATGTAAATATGTAAAAGAAAATAAAATAAAATAATATTAAACTGATGTTGCGAACATTATCGAATGCTCGCGAACATGCTCGTGTTCGTTTGATTATTAAACGAGCTTAATTTTTCTATTCGAACTCGACTCGATTAACAAGATCTCGAACAAATTTTTGTTCACAAACGTTCAATTCGTTAACAACCTTATTTATGCTTTATCTATGGGTCTATGAGAGATTTCGTATGGACTGTCAAATCACACACAGACACATGCGTTAGATGTATGATAAATTAATGATATAAAAATCATTGTCGGTCACTAAACCCGTTGGATCAATACACAAACAACAACTGTGTGGCAATTCAACAAATCGAAACAAAAATGGATAAATTCGATCCTACCCCATGGGATAGTGCCCCATGTGATTTTTAGCCACATATTTCACACGCACCCATGTTGGTGTGGCTAAAACCCCATGGGGCCACTACCCCATGGGGTAGGATCAAATCTGCCACAAAAATGAGTGCTTTCAAATTATGCTACAGTAATTCAATTTATTTTATCTTTTTACTTGTTTAATCACTCAAATCAAAAATTGCATTTTTCCATGGAAAAATTCAACAAGATTTATAAATACGATAAGGTTCACAAATAGTCGGTCCAAAATAAGATTCAAAGATTCAATAAGGATATCTTAATGTAAAAGAATTTATGGCATAACTGGCATTTATAATACACACCTATCCGTGGACCTTAAGACAAAAAACGTGGAGCTTTTTTGTTCGTTTCAATTTGAAGTTTTAAATTGAGCCCGAAGTAATGTAGTGTCGTATAATACAGGTCAGAAATTTATTATCATAAAGCAAGTTAATGCATTAATCTGACCTATAAAATACGGTCTACCATAATAAAATCAAATGGTAATGGAGAAAACAAAGAGAAGAAAGGTAACAAATATATTGAGAACAAAAATACGGAACAAAAATGCATGTTTACGCTATCGAATGTGGTATTTTTATTTATTTATTTACTTTGAAGTATGATGTTTTTGAATGAAAATATGCATATTTGTGAAAAAAAAAAATAAAAGTATTGGCTACTTAAGGTAAACTACAGAAAACAAGTAAATTTAGAAGCAATGCACAAATGGTAGTCCATTTATTCACATAGATATTCCATAAATCTAATAAAATGAAGCTCAAAGATGTTGTATAGGTAAAAATCATAACACAACACCAGTATACAACAGAGGGAGGCTCAAGTTCGGACATACGATTTTATCCATGATTAGATCGTGTCACGTTGAAGTCTGTTATTTGGACATTATTTACGAGTTATATACAAATTGAAAACCTTTTTTTCTTTCTTTCTTTTATTTTTAATCAAGAGATTTGAAATTCTTGTGTATGAGCTGATCTTCTGTGTCTAACCTGGGGGCTCGAGTATTCCGAACTAGTTTCAGTCGAGACAGATGAATCTGGTACTGAACTCGATTCGGAATCTGATTGTGGCTGTTGATTCTTGAAACTCTGAGAATCGCGGTGTTTTGTATTTGGTGCTTGTTCGTGGCCTTCAGCAGCAAGTCTACTCAATATATTCATGACAGTTGGAAGGAATCTTGTCGAGAGGGCTATAAGCCCAGCAACCTGCAAACGAGCACCAAATAACAAATTACACTATGTTTGGTAAAAATAGCTGATAAGCTTAGGGTATGTTTGGTAAGCCAAATAAGCTAGCTTATAGCTTATTTGGTTAGCTTATAAGCTCCATGTATTAAAATAAGCCTCGTTTGGTAGGACGAGCTTTTTTAAGAAGCTCGAGCTTATTTCATAAGCTACTTTAAGTAGTTTTTCAAATAAGCTAGTTGAATTTTTTATTTCAGCTAGCTTATCAGCTAATTTACCAAACATCTTTTATCATATAAGCTAGCTTTTCAGCTATAAGTCATAAGCTATAAGCTATAATCTAAAAAATTGTATATAAGCTATCAGCTAGCTTATCAGCTAGTTTTACCAAACATAACCTTAGTTTATAGCTTATAAGTGATTTTCGAGCTTATATCTTATAGTTTATGACTTATAGCTAAAAACTAGCTTATATGATAAAAGTATTTGGTTGGTAAAATTAGCTGATAAGCTAGCTGAATTAAAAATTTCAACGAGCTTATTTGAAAAGCTAGCCAAATAAGCTTATGAGATAAGCTCGATCTTTTTAAAAAAGTCCGTCATACCAAACGAAGCTTATTCGAATACAGGAGTCTTATAAGCTAAATAAATAAGCTATAAGTTAGTTTATTTAATTACAAAACATAGACTTAATCCACGATACCCAAACCTCAGATTTTGCCACTTGTGTGAGGCAGGATAATGAAAAGGATGAGAAATACGTGAAATGGCTTTCTTAAATACAGGTCGTGTAACCCGATAAAGCTAGTAATGGATTAACCGATTCCGAGAAAAAAGGTGGGGTCGTGAACGTAAATCCAATATTTAAACAGCCGTGATTCACTTACAAAGCCGTTAGAGAACAATGCCGGAATATCTATTTGCACACATACGGCTTTCCCGAGCAAGAACGTGACAAATATCACAAGGAGGTATAGAGGGTTCCTGTTTCATCAGCGAAAGACGAAACAAAATAGAAACTCGATAAAAGGTAGAGATTATCACGCTGTGATAAACTATGGAAAAAGAATATTACCTTAAAAGTAGCATGAATTCATTGAAACCAAGAACAATCATTGCAAGGATAGCCCAAGGTGGAGGTAACCAATTGTTGCTTCGCTTGTATGCCTCCTGCAGGAAGCACATTTTGTAATTCACAAACCCAAAAATAAACGACCAAAAAGTGGAAATGATGAGGAGAAAAGTAAACGAGACTATAATAATAGTATATAAAAAAAACAATTGTGATTTACACCTGCGCTGAAATTGCTTGGGTGACTGTGTACTCTGTTTCGGCCTTAAACTGTTTCCACAAGGCTTTGCACTGAACTGGTGTGATCAAAGTATTTTCTGGGGGGACCTATTACAAATATAAATTCTCATGAGACACTAATTAATATGCTTACATTATGATATAGAAACGACTTCTTCTTTTTTTCGAGACCTCTTCCCATGTGCTAGAAGCAAGAGGACTGCCAGAAACTACAGCATCCATAGCCAGAGATGGCATAATTTCTGTGTTCTCCATGAGTCCACAATAAAGCGCATTTTCTATATTATCCATTTTTTCCTCCAACCATACAGCAGCCAATGTAGCCAACAACTTCAGAGACTGACCCCCCCAACAAAAAAAAAAAAAAGTCAGACAAAAAATCAATTTCTCACTTAATTAGAAAACAACCAAGTTAGGCATTTATCACAATTGATCGAACCATGCTTTTGTTACCTCACAGCGGGCCTCCTTAGTGATTGCTCTAATGTCTTCTTTTCCTGTCCAAACCCTCGGCATGGAGTCCTTGTCATGGTTAAAGACAATAGCAAATCTGAAAGGATGAGTGAGCATGATCATTATGAAGCGTCATCTGTTATTATTTTGTTTTTAATGGCATGACAGGTAATGTTAGGCAATGATTTCAGAATTTTTATTTTTATTTTTTTTCCAAAAGAACAGGCATAGAGGAACACATAAGCAGACCTATCTTTCATGCGAATAAGAACTTTTCCTGCCTCCTCTTTAGATTTGTTCCGCACCAACTTTCTCGCATATTCCTTCAAATTATTCACCATTTTGTCAACAGTTGACTGATCCAACTCATAACCAGCAATCGCACGTAAAAAGGAAGATGAAGCTTTATTGCTCTCGCGCTTCACAAGATTTCTGATAGAAGCCCATGTATTTGCCCCACCACCTTCAAAAAGGGCCTCTAGTGGGTCGATGAGTGCTGCAGAAAGTCGTTCCTGCACATAAAAATCTCAGTCAAGTATAATTTCTGTTACTCCCAAGATATTTTTGTAAGGACGGTGAGCAAGGGTAACAGAACAATGTAATTCCTTTTACAAATAATAAATACCTCAAACTCAGCTACTATTTGTGACAATCTCTCACTACGGACATGAGAAACATGAGCTTCAATATCACGATTAAGCTTTTCACGTACTTTTGAAGCATCCCAATTAGCTTGCTCTATGGCAACATCTAAAATTGAAAAGACATTATAGAGCAGATAATAAACTAGGATTCAATCATTTAAACTTATGGGCCACTTTTGATATGAGGACAACTGAAGATAAAAAACAGATAAGCTGCAAGCTCAAAGCATCATTACCAAGAAAAAGTAAAATGAAGTTTTGCACGAGCAAGGGAAAATTGAAAAAAAAA